CCATAAACAAATACAATCTTCGCAATGGAAAAAATCTACAAGAGCCTTTCTGCCAAACTAAATTTGAACAACTAATTATTTCTTATCGCGGTCCTTATTTATGGAATAAAATAGTTTTGCCAAATTTTGATTTGTCATTGAGATGGACTTTAACTTCTTTCAAACAAAAATTAAAAGAAGTTATCTTTTCAGCAGAAAATAGTTTTTCTTATTTTTAGTTCTTTTGTTTCATATACTTTATATAATTTATCCAGTATAGGACTACTTATATACTTATGCACACCTACTTATATTTTAAATGCACAGTTATATATAGTTTATATATATATTATGTTGTTATATATAATTTATATATATATATTATGTTGATTTATTCTTATTCGTTAATTTGATTTTATTGTTATTATTATTATATTTGATATTGTAAAGGGTTTCATGATAAGATCGTATGATCTTCTGGAAGTCCTGCCTATTATATTTGTATTAAAGCTATTCTGTAACTGTAATTTATATATATATATATATATACATATATATATATATATATATATATATATATACATATATATATATATATATATATATATATATATATATATATATATATATATATATATATATATATATATATATATATATATATATATATATATATATATATATATATATATATATATATATATATATATATGTATATATAATATATATATGTATATATAAAAAAAACACTGTTCAATAAAAAATCTCAAGCAAGTGTCACTAAAAGTTTGTTTTTATTACATTATACATTATACATATTTTATACATTAAAAAAGTGACACTTATTTAAAAGCAAAACAGTGAAGCAGTGACAAGGCAGATTTAAATTTAGATTATATGAAAATTAAGAATGTAAAATAGTTGAAATTTAGCATTACGGCATTAAAAATCAACGTAAATTTTACTTCAGCAACACTTATTGGAAGTATTTTTCAAATTTCAATTGGTCTTATCGATGGTAAATTTACTTGAGCAAAATGCAAGCCTTAGAATATTTTGTGGAAAAAAATAATACTATTAGTAGTAATAATAATGATTACTAAAAATAATGACGCAACTTTACGTTAATAATGTTTTCTACTGTAAAGTGGGTTAAATAGGCTTCAGAGAAACAGTGTTAAACACAACTTACAAAAGCTAATCATATTTAAAAAATTTTTAAGCTAAGATATCCGCTTAAGCTATATTACGTACATGAATTTAAAAAACAAGCATACACCAACGCTAAGTTAAGGCGATTAAAAGAAAAAAACACAACACACATATTAAAAACGCATTGCTGATACTCCACGATATCACTCCATGATACTCCACGGTATAATTAATTGTGATTCCCGTTAATTATCGGTATAATAATTTCGACCGGTAATGATAGAAGTTTTTTTTTTTTTCGTTTTGTACTTTTTATTACATTTTAAATAAGCATTTCATTACAATATTTAAAATACAAATATATATATATATATATATATATATATATATATATATATATATATATATATATATATATATATATATATATATATATATATATATATACAGGGGCGGACTTAAACCCCGTCAAGTGCTGCAAAAGACGGGGTAAAAAAACAAAAATAAATATAAGTATTATGACGTCTAACGCCCGCTTAAAGTTAATTGCCGATCTATATATTTTTGTTAGAAAATATAATTAGAAAAGCTAATGTAAACTATACTTTGCAGGGTATTAGAAAATTATTTATAAAACTTGCTAATGTAAACTATACTTTGCAGGATATGGGAAAATTGGATAAGTTCATTGGTTTACGCTATTAAAAGTAGTTTAAAAAATAAACATGTTTAGTGTAAACTATCCTTTGCAGCATTTGCAGCAGTTTTGATTTGATTGGTTGCAAAGATCGATAAACAACTCAAAAGCACTCAAGAAACTCAAAGAACTCCGTTCTAAAAACACAGTATTTCCTTAAAATTTTAACGTATAAACGTGGCTTACGTATAAGCGTGGCTAATTTAAAAAAAAAAAAAAAAAGGAATGGCTTACAACTTCATTGATGATGTACTTAAAAGATTTAAAACCGATAATCTTGTCGATTTAAATACTTTTTATAAAACTTTATTGGATACATTTATTTACAACAATAACAAAATGGTTAGTAACGAAGGTCTTTTAAGTCGTTTTATTGATGGCACACTAAGAAGAAATATGTGCCGAAGTTTGTATCCCTTCTTACTTAAAAGACAATAAAATGCATTGTATTGCTCTAAGGTAAGTCAATTAACTTTTTTTTCAAAAATAATCTTATTGTATTTTATTACAAAATTTAATACTTTTTTGTAAAAATATTTATTGTTAATACCGTATTAATCTAATCTATAAAAAAATCTCGTTGACTAATCAATATTTAATAAGTGTCAACACCGCCAAATGATTTTGTCATGTATGAATATAATATGTTCATGATGTATGTATTAAATTCCTACATGTTAAAATCGTTTGTTGGTTTGTCTGAATTCTTGACTATTGATTTGATTTATGAATTTGTTTAAAAAGCAAAGATTTTACTCAATTTTAAATTTATTGATAAAAGAAGTTTAGCTCTTAAAAACATGAAGTAAATATATATATTTTTTCTTAAGGTCTGAAGCATCTGGAAGTTGTATGTACAGCTCTGCAATCATTATTTTTTGTTGCTGACAATACACTGATGGATGTGTTAAGAGTTTTAACATCCCTTGAAATTTATATACATACTGATTATTACTGTAAGCATCCTTTATTTTCAAAAATATTTTCTGATTATAGTTCTTATTTTATTAATCTCAAAAGTTTGTTGTGTATGTCAGTATCTCAATCTGCATTAGATTCTGGCTTCAAAAATAATAATATTATTAAAGCTGAAGCAATTGCAAACTGTGATAATACAGAAAAATGGGCTGGTTTTTTATGTTTGTTAGGTTTATCATCGGTTCTTTCTTGTAATATTGTTTCTTGTTACCCAGATTTCGGTGTTGAAAAGTATAAAATATTTTTAACAAAGAGATCTCACCACGTACTCCCATTAAATTTTGTTCCCCATTTTACATTTTGTTTTGTTATGATGGGAATTTTCAGTCAGGTACATTTCAGCATAATCACTATGTCCCACTAATTTTTATACCTAAAAAGCGTAAACTTTCCAGTAAATCAAAAACAATAATTTCGAAAAAATTGCTGCCAGTCTTGTCACCTAATAAATTTCTAGATACAAAACAGACCACCATTGATCAAGTTGCTACAATTGTACCCAGCACAGAAGCTAAAAATCCAAATAAAAAGCCTTACTCTATCTTTACATTCTTTCATAAAACAAACCCAGACTTAGAACCTACTAGTGCAGTCTTACAAACTACATCTTGTATTCTAAAATTAAATAGTTTTTCTTTTCAATTAGCAGTGTCTTCTTCTCAATCTACAACATCTTTTCAATCATTAACATTAAATAAAGATGTTTCTTCTCACTCAAAAACATCTAAGGACAGTGTTCTATCAAAATCTTTTTTTACAAAATCTTCAAGCATCAGGAAAGTACCTAATTTTTATAATAATAATAATATTGAATGCCCTTTATTTTACCACCTAAGGAAGTACTAAGGAAGTCTTTTGAGCAAAATGATGTTGCTTTCTTTAGGCAAAAAGTTGAATATTTATCTGATCATGAAATATTTTTATTAACTAAAAATATGTTTATTCCTAATGAAGATTACATTTTCCCAAAAAATTCTGGTCGTCAGTTTAGATATCTTTGGTTGAGAGAGTTTTCTTGGCTGAGATATTCTAAAAGTACTGAGATATTCTAAAAGTACTGGGCATTTTGTTTATCTTATGTATTATTTGGCAATAAATTCAAACTAGGATCACATAAGTTAACACATTTGTATTTGGAGCCTTTCAATAATTGGTTTGATGCTATTAGATCATTTTCAAATCATGAGTCAACTAAAAATGGTTTACATGCATTTACTATGCCTGTTTTTAATATTTTTTGAGTCATTCCTCAAGCATAAGTCAACCAATAAATGTCATCATTGATACTAATGTAAAAGAAAAAAGAATAAAAAATCGCCAAATACTTCGTTCTATTGTTGATGCTATAATTTTTTGCAGTCAAACCAATACACCTTTGAGAGGCCACAGAGATGATTCACAATACCTTCTAGAGGCTAGAGAATATTCGAAATGTGGAACTGGTTGTTTTAATAAACTCTTAAATTTTGCTGTACGCAATGGAAATGGTGTTTTAGGCTCTCATCTTAATAACTGTTCAAAGAATGCCTCCTACATTTTGCAGACTTCACAAAATGAAATTATTAAATGCTGTGGTGAAGAAATTAGTGAATCTATACTATCTGAAGTTCGCAAAAATGTTTTTTTTTCAATAATTGCAGATGAAGCCTGTGACTCATCTACTAAAGAGCAAATGTCATTAGTTTTACGATTTGTTGATAGTGATTTCAATATCAGAGAAGACTTTATTCAATTTATTCATTGTAGTGAAGGAGTTAAAGGAAAAGATTTGTTTAATGTTCTTTTAAATTAAGTAAGTAACTTAAATCTAGATATAAAATACTGTATGGGTCAGGGATATGATGGAGCCATTTCTGTCTCTGGGTATATAAATGGTCTTTCTGCTCAGGTTCTCAATATAAATTCAAAGGTTTTGTATACACATTGTCATAGCCATCGACTGAACTTATCAGTTTGTGAATCGTGTAATGTCCAATTAGTTTCAGAGGTTTTTAATAAAGTTTGTGAACTTTCTTATTTTTTTAATTATTCAGAAAATAGACAAAAGTTTTTAGAAGCTAGCATTTTAGAGCGAGAACCTCAAATGCATAAAAAAAAATTAAAAGATATCTGTAGAACTAGATGGATTGAGCGTATAGATGATTTAAACACTTTTCTTGCGCATTATTTATCTATTTTCCATGCTTTATGTATCATGGCTTCCCCTGAGAGTTCTGTTAACAAAGACACACAAAACAAATCTGCTTTTTTAAATTCCATTGGCACTTTTCAATTCATCTTTACTTTAGTTGTGACAACACGTGCCTTTGATTTTACTTTACCTGTTACTCGGTTACTGCAATCAAAAACTATTGATATCTTAGACGGTTTGCACCTTATTACAGCTCTTAAAAATACATTTATTTCCATCAGAAACGATATAGATAGTTTTCATAATAACTGCTATGAAGCAGCATGTTTGCTTTCAAGTAAAGCTGAAATTTTTGTTTTAAAACCAACAACCTGTTCTATTCAAAAAATTCGTTCTAATGTTCCATCAGAGTCTGTTTCAGAATACTTCAAAAGAGCTGTTACTATCCCTCTTATAGATCATGTATCTACATCTATATCTACAAGATTTAAATCAGAAACTGTAGCTGCATATAAAGGGTTATCAATTATTCCATTTAATATTATTTCTTTTCAAAAAGACCCAAAAACCAAATTGTGTTGGAGGAAGCAGTTTGAAACATTCTGTGATTTTTATATAGATGATTTCCCTAATATCAGTGCCTTAAATGGGGAACTAGTTTTTTGGGAAAAATATAGGGAAAGTTTCTCTGGAACTATTCCTGACAATATATCTTCAACTCTTAAATCGATATCATTTCCTGGATTTAAAAATATTAAGATAGCTTTAAGGATACTTAGGACACTTCCTGTTACTTCATGTGAGTGTGAGAGGAGTTTTTCTGTTATGCGTTGGTTAAAAGACCATACGAGAACAACAATGTCAGAAGATCGACTTAACGGTTTGGCATTAATGTATATCCATCAAGAAATTGTTCCTTGTATTGATAATGTTATCAATAGATTTTCTATAAAAAATAGACGACTTGATTTCAATTATTAGTGTCTATACTGTTTATTCTATAACACATCAACAACTTTTGAAATTTTTGTCTATTATCACCTCTCTTCATATAACAGCTAACAAAAAGGCATGAAAACCCCTGGAAAGGCCAAGACTTCAATGGTGTCCTTAACAGGACGGGTTAAATGTAACTCCATACTTTTATTTGGGATTAGCTATATGATTAGTGATCATAGTTCAGGCAAACATTAACGATCTCTTTTTGACAATCTCTTTATATCATTTTCTAGCTACAAAATAAAAAATAAAAAAAATTATTTTCAATAAATTTTCTCTCAATCAACCTAATAATATTCATAAGTTTTTGTGCCATTTAAATCAGTTTTTTGCTGTAGTTGTCAAAATCATTAGCTTTCTTTTTATTTCATCAAAAATGATCTTCTTTCTTGTTGTTAAAGCTTAGCTTGGTATGTCTTTTTTTTTTAATCTTGTTATATAAGAATATATATAACTTTTTATTTCACGATGTATATAAATCCATTTGTATTTTTGTCTTTCTCTTTTCAGTTCTTAATTTTTTTTTCTCTGATTGTCCATGTCTGGAATAAATATGTTCCTAGACATGCTGATGAGCCCTGATATTGGGCGAAACAATCATTTGTTGGTTTATATATTTATTATATATTTATATATAAAAAGTTTCAAATTAAAACTAAGATATGAGCTTCTCAATCAAATAGCAAAAAGAAAATCCCTTTTTTTTCTATTTGCTTTGTGGGCGTAGTTGCGTCACTTACAACATGGCGTAAGGCGCATTTTTTTGACAGGGTAAATTAAAAACCTGCGTCCGCCCCTGATATATATATATATATATATATATTATATATATATATATATATATATATATATATATATATATATATATATATATATTTATATATATAATGATCGTTATTAAAAAATAAAAAAACGCGGAGACTCGTAGAAGACCGTACTGTCATGTAGTCGAGTACCGCTAAGAAATGTTCGTGTTAAAATTTAGATATTTAGAAGATAAAAAGTAAGTAACGAAATAAGAAACTTAAAATATTCCGTAATAAATACAAGATGCGTTATATCTATTACATATGTAGATTACAGTTGGTAATGATACATATACAATTATTATAAATTCATGTTTAAATAGAGGTTAAAAAGGAATATTACTAAAAAATGTAAGAAGTATATTGTTAAATCTTCGATTGTAAAACTGAGTTCTTTTGTTTAAAAGAAAAGTAGTTACTTTGATGAATAAAATCCTCAGTAAAATTTTTAAAAACTTTTTTATTCCATAAGAATGGTCCGCGATCATCAATACAAAATTTAAAAAAGATCTGTTTGAAAAATGGGCTGCCAAATAAAATTATGATGAATACAAATTATGGAAAGAAATCGGGGATGAATTGCTTTTTCATTTAAACATAAAACAAAGAATATTAAAAATATTAAGCTCATATATATTAAAAACTTTCATTTCAAATAATAGAGGCTTGGCATGAGTATAACGGTCTTTAAAATATATAAGACGTGCTACATGCTTCTGCTGACAATAAAGAGGTTTAAGGTTATTTTTATTTGTACTAGCCCAAGCAATGCTTGCATAGTTTATGTGACAATGAACAAATGAGTGATATAATTGTACTAAGATATGTTTATTTAAAAACATTTCTTGCTTTGTACAATATTCCTATACTTTTTGAAATTTTACTTGATAAGTTTTTAATGTGATTTTTCTATGTAAGATTTTCATCAATACAAACACCTAGAAAGTTGGTTAATGTTACTTTTTTTAATTTGTATATTGTCAATAACAAGTTGAGGCGTGTTAATTGGCAGCAGTGGCGGACTGGGACTAAAAATCGGCCCGGGCATTTCATATTGGACCGGCCCACATTAGAGGAAAATTAATTAACTATTTTTTTTATAATTTAACTATGAAATTTTTAAACAAATTTTTTAAGAACAAATATGTTTATTTTAAATATTCAACTAATTAAGAATTTTCAAACAACTAAAAGATTTTTAAACAGATCACTTGTTTCAGCTCGTCAATTATTGTTTTGGGATCAAGATTGCTTAGAATTTCCTTTCCAGTATTCATGAGCATGAATGATTGTAAATATTCTTGAGCCATACTACTACGCAAACGATTTTTGATGAACTTTAAAATTGAAAAACTTCTTTCACATGCAACTTGCGTAAATAAAAGTGACAACTTTTAAACTTGCGTAAATAAAAGTATATTTATAAGCTAACCCAATTTTTGCGTATGCTTCACTTATTAAATTATATTGAATCAAAACAAGGTAGCAACAAACTGTGCAGTTTTTACAGGCAGTACATGACTTTCGACAATTATATTCAAGTTCCTCAACACTTTCTTTGTTTATATCCATTATGTCATATGTACTCAAAAGTGACTCTTTGATATTATTCCAGTTTGAAGCAAAACTAGTAAGCTCAGTACGTAAATTTTCTGCTGTAGCTTCTTCATCAAACGGCAATAGATGTTCACTCAATTTATTTAAAGCAGATGTTGGTACACTATGAGCTTTCAAATGTTCAAAATTTAAAGGACTTAGAATAGCAAAATCAGCATAAAGTTCTCGACTTTTTTTAAAACGTTTGCTCATGCTTTCTATTATGCTTTTAAATATTACATCATGAACTTTAACTTTATAAGAGTTAAGTACATCAAAATGAATTTCAAAATCACTTGGACGAGTTTCGCCTGATAATACTTTTTTCTTTCAAATTCTTTTTTCTGGTAGAGTATTCTCTGCTTCTAATTCATCTTGTTCAAGTTTTTCATTAACTTTACAGACAAAATTATTCGTAGCTTCCAATACTATATCAAATTCCTCTAAATACTTTTTCAATGTGTCTATCGTTTGCGTAACCATGTTGTATGCAACCAAAATGTCCATATTTACTGTTTGTAAATATTTTGAGAGCGGTGTCGTCAACTGAAAAACCCGTAAAAAAATTTGTGCAGTTAAAATTCTGTCATACTTAAGGAGTCCTTCTTTGAAGCCATTTGCTTATACTCGAACTTCAGATTTGAAACTTAAATTGTCTTCAATATGAGACAATGCAACTACAAGTTCAACGTAGAAACTAGAATGCGGATTGGCAAAGGTACCAAATATTTTTGTTAACGCTGCATCCTTTGACCACCAACGTGTTTCACCAATAGTTGAAATTCTGCGGTTGTGTATATCATTCTGATTTTCTGTTTAAAAAATATTCATTCTTGTATATGATCCACGAATAAACACTGCTACGTCATTCAACAAATTAAACAAGGAAATACTGGATAAAATGACACTACAAGTATCTGAAATAACCAAATTTAAAGCATGAGCATAACATCATACATGTATTTGGTTTGGATTTTCTTTGAACATCCATGCTGCAAAACCGTTATACTCACCATTCATGTTTGCAGCTCCATCTGTTGAATTACCAACACACTTTAAAATATCAATGTTCAATGCCTTTAAAGTTTCAGATACTAAACTCGACAGATACTTGCCAGTTGAAGAGTCGCACGCAATCATAGTAAATAATCTTTCGTGAATCTGATCAGTTACATACCTCACAACTATTGAGCATTGATTTTTAGTTGTTATATCTTTTGTTGTATAAATTTGAACTGAAACATACCAGCTGAGTTAATTTCTTTTGCAATGATTTTCTGTATGGAACGACTCGTAATTTGAATGAGTTTTGTTATTGTGGTTTTTGAAAGAAAAGTAACCATGGAATCTCTTCCAGTACTTCCTGTGTTCTTCCGTTTTTCACTCTGTTCAATGCAACTATTTAAATGTTTCTTTTAAACAAGTATCATATTTACTGACAAGTAACACCATTTCTAAGAAATTTCCATGATCAATTGAATTATCTGATAATGTATAAGCAGCTTCAAACTCATGTCCCTTGTAACTAAGACCACGTTTTCCAATTACTTTAATAATTTCTATCACTCGCAGGAGCACAAGACGTCGCTTTTGAACTTGCTCTCCACGTACAGAAATTTGAGTAGAAAACAGTAAATTTGAGACGTTGGATCTAGATACATGTTGGAAATAGTTTTCTGTGCATTCGTTATGCGATGCTGATTTTTCATGTTCATCAACTCTTTGATGAATATGTCTTCTATCTGTCATTCCACTAACAAAAGAACTCATTACAACAGTTGGTAAAAATGCTAAACATATTGAACAATATAATGCATCGTTGCCTTCAGAGTAAGATAACCATTTACGATTCGTTCCATTTTTCCGTACAAAAGATTTCACAATAATAGGATCTCTGGTAGTTTGAGTTGGATGGATTTCAAAAAATTTATTGAGAAGTGTTGATGGTGGACGAGAAAACCAGTAAATATTTTGTTCTACAATAATTACACCTTGATCAACAACCATATCACAATCACAAACAGGATGATGGCTGACGGTTTCTGCGATGCTAATGTTTGAATCGATCTGAACTTGAATCTCATTTTGTGTACATTCTGACAAATTTTCAACTGCTACATCGTCACTATTTAGTACTTCATTAGTTGCTGTAATATCTTCAGATTCGGTTCCAGTCGTTGACGTTGTGTTATTATTGGAATTAATTTGGATCTTTACATCATTTTTACTTTTTGTTGTCACTTTTTCATCAGCTTTACTTATATCAGGATTTCTGTTGGGAATGAAATCGCTTATTTTAAGACATTTGTTAGCTGATAATTTCATCAATTTTTGGTTTTTCTCTCGTAATTTTTGAGCTCCTCCTTGTCTTTTTTTGAGTTCATTCATTTTAAAAATCTATTATTATATATAGTTTTTAAACGATATTATTTTCCTATGCTTATATTATTGATTTTCAAGATAAATTGATATTGCGCGGGGTTTTCATCTTCTTACAATTTTGATTGTGTGCATAATTCGAAATTGGTATCTATGACAGCGTTTGGGTTTATTGAAGACTCTATAGTGATTTGTTAATTTTTATTTAATTTTATTTTTTTACTCTATAGTGATTTGTTTTTTTTTTGTACCATATGTATGCATGTATATATGTTATATATGTATGTATGTATGCATGTATGTATTATGCATTACACTTAACGAAGGATTAAAAAATACGTACGTCACTAATTTTACAAATAATTCTTTGTAAAGAACATACATTTAGTTTAAATATGTATTATATTAGTTTCATTTGAATTTTTTGATTAATCATCTTGATTAATCAAAAAATCATTTTGATTAATAATTTTTTTACCAGCCTATCGGCCCACTTTTGTACCGGCCCACCGGGCATTGTCCCGGTACGCCCATATGGCCAGTCCGCCTCTGATTGGCAGTAAATTTTTTGGATAAGAGGATGGAAAAGAATCCATTTAGTTTTATCAATATTAAGAGATAATTTGTTAGTCTTAAACCAGTCAGATATTTTGATTAACTCTATGTTCAGGTAATGAAATAGAGTAGGAATGCTTTTGTGTGACATGAATAAATTAGTGTTATCAGCAAACATAATTGCTATTAAATCCGAGGCTTTGTATTGATCATTAATATAAATAAGAAAAAGAAAAGGTCCTAATATAGATCCTTAAGAAACTCCGCATGTAATATTAACAATTTCAAACAAAACAAATTTGATGTCAATGTTTCATCGGCGTAGACAAATTGTTTACGATTAGTTAAATAACTTTTCAACCATTTTAAAAAATTGCCTGTTATACCATAATATTTTATTTATTTAGCAAGAATTTTATGATCAATGGTATTAAACGCTTTCGCTAAATCAATAAATCTTCCCGATGTGAATTTAGAATTGTTAAATGAGCCTGATATACTTCTTGTAAACTAAATAATAGCATCTCAACGCAGTTAATGCACGTTCTGGAAAATAAACGAACTTTGCGTTTTAGTTTAAAGGCTATGTTTAACTAAATTTTTTTAGCACAACTAAAAAATAAAAAAAAGAAATTTTATTTTAATTTTAGTCCTTTCATATGTCTAAAATTAAATAACGTTAACTTTTTTAAAATTATTCGAGTTCAGGTTTAAAATTTTGCTTTATAGTTAAGGTATCATTTTTTGGTATAAAATGATGTTGAATCAACATCATTTTAATGTCATCTTTGGTTATACCAAGATGGAGAAAAAAGAGGTAAGACTCCTGAGAAACAAAGTCTGATTGTTTTGAGAGGGGGCAAACTTGAGTAAAAAGTTCTGGTTGTTCTTTGTCAAAGATGTTCACCTCTGGAACATCATATTTTAACAATTCCACAAGAATATCCATCCTCTCTTTCTCTTCTAAGCGCAGGTCAGCTAAAGCAAAGATAACACACTGTGGTGTAAAATACCAAGTGTGTCTGAGAATACTAAGATTAAGAGCTTTGCCAATCTTTCCTTACTTTTTGGAGTAAAGTGGATCTATCAAAATCTGTGATGAAATCTTGAATGCTCTAAGGTCATTGGATGAAGCCTGAGCTGCCATTGGGCTCTTCAGGAAGAATAAACAGCGAAAGATCACTATATAATCTGTTGCATCTTGTATCATTTTAATCTCATTAATACTGAGTTGCTTGTTGTAATTCTTATAATTCTCACTTCTGAAATCTCTGTCCTATATTGTTTAACCAACTTTGTGTCAAAGTGAAGAACAAGTTTTAAACCCCTAATCTTATCCAGGTTCTGCTCTCTTACAATAAGTGCTTCGTTTAACATGTCAATATCTACTCCCCCAGTTTGGAATAGTGAAGACAACATTGCTGTTTCAGCTTTTACGCTAACTTGATATCTAAAAATAAACAAAATTATGTAAAATTTAAGTTGTTTTGGCTTAAAGTTTTATATATATATATATATATATATATATATATATATATATATATATATATATATATATATATATATATATATATATATATATATATATATATATATATATATATATATATATGTAATATACTTTACTTTTTTATCCATAAACTTATTTACCTTGTCATAAATGGAATCCATTTATCTAAAACATCATTCAGACTGAGTTGATGGCAAATCTTTGTCGAATCATATAGCTTTTTTTTCTTTGCAGTTGGAGACTCGAAGTCTGAATCATAATCTGTTCCACTACATTCACTGGAGAATTCCTGCTCAAAATTTCTCAAAGCTTCTTCTTCTGCTGCTTTTTCCAGTAATTGGCTTTTTTTTTTTGCTCAACATTTGCTTTCAGTCTCTCCTCCAGTCGCTCTTCTTCTATCATCTTCATCAGCAGATTTTTCATCTTTTCCTCACCTTCAGAAACTATTTCAGCAAATGTTTTGTCATTTTTGTAGGACATCTTGACCATGTCCCCTTTCAAACAAAAATAGAATCCTCTTTTACAGCCTCCTTACTTTTTCTAGGATCCTGGCTAATTAATTTGAAAATATCTTCCTTGTGTATAGGAAACAAAAAATTGGCCTTGTCTAAGAACTCTTGAGTATGTTGGCTCATGGTTTCTTTGCTCATCTCAAGGGTTCTCATCTTTAAAACTTTAATATACTGTGTATTCAAAGCAATAATTCTAGTCCTAAATTAAAAAATTACAACATTAAATAAATACGTCAGCAAAACTTATATGTAAACATATTTCATAAATAAATATGTTTCACAGAATACTTAATTTTTATAACAAGAGACTTAATATTTAGTGGCTTACTTAATCGACCGTTCACTGATGATAAAATTTTCATCAAAGCCTGCTTTGTTCCAAATGTTAATCAGCTCTCTTATGATGCACACATTTGATATTTCGTTTCTGTTATTAGCATAACACATACCACTACTGCATTAAAGCTTGCTCATACTCGCTAGAGGACATCCAATTTTGGATGACAATGTTTTGATTGCAGTTGCATGAGTCTGATTAATCCAGTAAATTCTTCGACAAACTTCCCCAACGGTTGAAAGTCTATTTGGAGAAAATATTTTGAGAGGGTACCCCAACAAATAAAGACTTCTTCTTCCATTAGCTTTTCCAACATATCCTACACTAGCCATATTTAATATTAGTTTCTATACTAAAAAATACAACAGAATTGATCACAAAATATACAGTTTTTTTATACATATTTTACATATATGTAAAAATTGTAATTAAGTAATTAAATGTATACTATTTAAATTATGAGTCTAGTAGCAGTATACAATATATACTGCTACTGTTTTTCAACATCCTAATCAAGGATATTTTATTAAAAATTTATTTTATTTTAAAATATGTTCATAGAGTTTCATTAAAAAAATGCAAAAAATTTCATTAAAATTTATATGCAGTTTTTTTCTAAAACATCTTCTTCAGCTAAACAGTGACTTTGAGCTAAGATATTTTTATGGTAGTCTACTGGGACCAAATAAGGAGGATTTACATAGTGCACAATGTTGAATTCAAAAATGTTTTTTTTCTGGGACACCCTAATGTTGATGCTATACGAAGATAAAACATTAACTAAAGAAAACAACATTTTCAAATAAGTTTTGAATCATATATTTATTTTCTTACCAGTCGTATGTCTAAAAACATATCAAAGGTAGAAAAAGATTAGTTATTTCAAGTTTAAAATCTGTTTTTTTGATTAAATATGAAAGCTTTTATTAATTTGAATGTGATGAACACAAAATTTGACATATTGCTCGTTAGACTTTTAATGTTTTATCTTTTATACTTTATTTAAAAGTCTAAGTTCAAATTTTAAATACTATTGTGATATGCATTACCTCTATTTTATAATGCCATTAAGCTATTTAACTAAAAATCTGGTCTTTAAATTACTTGAGATTTTTGTAAATATATGTTAAATAGAGGCAAAATTTAATATTTCTTAAGCAAATTCAGAAATTAAAGGAACGAGTAAAAAACATTTTTATGAAAACAAAAGAACAACTAAAAATTTTATTTTCACAAAAGATTTATAATACAATCAACTTTATCTTTTATTATGACAGAGCAGTCTATTCTCGATCCTTTAACTTGCGGTTTTACCAAAGTTGCAGAATTTAAAGTTTTAGCTGAAAAACATAAAATCAAACATCTTGTAAATGAAAATCATAAGGTTTTTTTTAATATATCTTATTTATGTTAAATCACTAACTAACCCTAGTAAATATGTTGCGAACCGGAAAATTTGTGTGTTTGTTGCCACAGAGAACAAGCAAGTCGAAAAATATGAAAGCTTGCATTAAGTGCGTTGAGATGCTCTGTTGAACTACTTTTTTTAAATCCATATTGCATGTTATATAAAAATTTGTTTGATAAAAGGTGATTGTATATTCTATTGAACAAATTCTTTTTAATTTTTTTAGAAAAAAAAAAAGAGGATGGAAATTTTAGAAAAAACAGAGAGGATGGAAGTGTGAACTTCCTTTCGAATGCTCTTCCGTAAGAACTACTTGGGACACCTAAAATAAAATAAAAAATTAATTTTACAACAACAACAAAATTTTCTTCATTATATATATATATCTTATTTATTATGTTCTTTATAACAATATAACTATATATATATATATATATATATATATATATATATATATATATATATATATATATATATATATATATATATATATATATATATATATATATATATATATAATATATATATATATATATATATATATATATATATATATATATATATATATATATATATATATATATATATATACATATGTATTTATATATATATATATGTATATATATATATGTATATATATATATATATGTTATATATATATATATAAATATATATATATATATATAT